CCCCGCTCCCCGCTCCCCGCTCCCCGCACCCCGCTCCCCGCTCTGGGTTCTGGGGCCTCCAGTGGGGCAGGAGAACTCAGGTCCTGCCTCCGGCCTGAATCCGGTTCCCACGCTTGGGTCTCCCTTCCTCAGCTCCAGGCACCTGATCCCAGTACCTTCCCCTGGGTGAGTGTTTGGGCTGAGAGGGCTGAGCCTCCGGTGTGACCCCGGCTGAGGTCACGCTGCCCCTGGTGGGGAGGAAAGACAGAGCCTTGCAGTCCGTTTCTTTCGGGCTGTGCCTTGTCGCTGCCCCAGAGGAAAGGCCGAGGGGACCCTGGAGTCCTAAACGAGTGTCCCTTCCTCCAACAGAAAGGGATCCGACACCCCCAGCAGGAAGAAAAAGAGCTGACTCAGGAGATGGTTCTGGAACTGGGAGGGGAGGAGGGGAAGAAAGAGGATTGCAAGCCAGGGCAGAGAGCCAACAGCTGGCTTTGACAGGGTGATGCATGGCTTGGAAGGTGCCAAATGTTCCAGGGGTGTGGCATTTTCACCTCCACCCTCTTCCCTGCCCATCTGGGCCCCACCCCTCCTAAAGAGGTGGCTCAACACGCCCTTCCTCCAGGAAGCCTTCCTGGGTTGACCCACGCTCCACTGTCGGGCATCACTTTTCATTCTCTGTGAGGAAAGGAGGTGAGACTAAGACCAAGCCTGGTGCAAACTCAGTCGTGAGCTCACACATGAGAGAAATGAGCTTCCACATCGCAGGAGGCTTGGCCCCTCTTCCAACTCATAGTGAAATGTTGGGTCCCCCTTTGGAAATGGCCCTCAGAACCAGCCTTCAGGTGAAACACACACACACACACACACACACACACACACACTACCATTACTTGATCACCCAATCTTCTTTGGGGCCAGGAACAGTAGATGTTTTCAAAGTGAATTCTGAATGACACCCTTCAATGTGCACCATGTGACTCTCCCCCCAGATCAAGAGAGTCCTGTGGTCAAATAGATTTGGGACCATGGGATTTAGGAGTTAATACTAATTCAATTTCTGTATTGCAGGCCTTCTCAGACCCTTTCCTAGTCAGTACACATTATGAATCTCCAAGCATCTGCATTTTCCCAAATTTACGTGACCTCACAATTTATTTATTTTTTTATAGTGGAGCGTCTCATGAACCTAGCTTGTCACTGAGCACCTTTGGGCAATGCTGGGATGCAGAATATACTAGAAAAGGACAGGCCCATCTTAGCAATGACTTATAGCAACACGACATATGGGCAGGTGCTGCCTCTGAAGGGACAGTTCATTGCAGCGACTTAGAACAATACAACATGCATTCAGCCAATCAGAATTTAACAATAGACTGTTCCTTCAGAGGCAGGGGCCTGGATGGACAGGTGCTGGGCCAGTGAACAAGGGGCAGCCCCGCTGTGCCACCGAGCTCCCTGGACAAGTCACTTTCCCTCTCTGGCCTCAGCGTTCCCACCGGTCAGATGAGGGAGCCCCACCCCCATTGTTTGGCTCTTCCCAATTCCTTCCTCTTAATCAGGCCCCTCAACCAATACCCTCTCTCTTAATCAGCCCAGATCCTGCTCCCCTCCCTTCTCCACCAAGCCCTGCCCACTTTCCTTCTCCTGTGCAAATACTACCTGAGCTGCAAGATCTGACTTCTCCTCCTCCATGAAGTCTAAAGCCCCTTTAAGCCGCACCAGCCCTTAGGCATCTCCCTCTCTCTGGTGGTCCCCACATGCACAGCCAGGACCTCTGAACTTCTTTCAGGTTTCTGGAAGGATAACAACAGCTAATACTATATAGCACTGTCTGTGTGACGGGCATTGGGGTAAACATGTACGCATGTTAATTTATTTGATCCCCACAACTCTGCTCTTTCCCCAACTAACAGATGGGGAAAGTGAGGCCAGAATGGTTAAGTAACCTGCCTACAGACACACAGCCGGTATGTGTTGGAGCTGGGATTTGAACCCAGGCTGTGTGTCTCTAAGCTGTGCTGTCCAATAGGGTAGCCGCCAGCCACATGTGCACTCCAGTGAACCGAGATGTGCTGTGAGTATTTAATGCACACCAGGTTTTGAAGACTTGGAATGACAAAAAGAATGTAAAACATCACAATGCAAAATATTTTTTTGCATTGTTTACATGGTGAAATGATATTTTAGATGTATTGAGTTAAATAAATAAAATATATTATTAAAATTATTTCACTTTTTCCTTTTACTTGTTTTTTTTAAATATATTTTATTGATTTTTTACAGAGAGGAAGGGAGAGAGATAGAGAGCTAGAAACATCGATGAGAGAGAAACATCAATCAGCTGCCTCCTGCACATCTCCCACTGGGAATGTGCCCGCAACCCAGGTACATGCCCTTGACCGGAATCGAACCTGGGAACCTTCAGTCCGCAGGCTGACGCTCTATCCACTGAGCCAAACCGGTTTTGGCTCCTTTTACTTGTTGATGTGGCCACTATCTGAGTTTTGTATATGGCTCATATTATATTATATTTCGATTGGACAATGCTGTTCCAAAACCTATGCTCACACTACTGAACTGCCTTTTTTGGGTCAGGGAAGTGGTGGGGGTGATGGGGTGACAAGAGTGGTGGTAGTGGTGGAAGTGGTGAAGGGGTGAGGATAGTGGTGGTGGTGATGATGATGGTGAAGGTGATGATGGTGCTGGTGCTAGTGGTGATGATGGTGGTGGTGCTAGTGGTGATGATGGTGGTGGTGGTAGTGGTGGAAGTGGTGAAGATGGTGGTGAGGATGGTGGTGGTGGAAGTGGTGAAGATGGTGGTGAGGATGGTGGTGCTGGTAGTGGTGAAGATGGTGATGATAGTGGTGGTGGAAGTGGTGAAGATGGTGATGAAGGTGGTGGTGGAAGTGGTGAGGATGGTGGTGAAGATGGTAGTGTTGAGGGTGGTGGTGGAAGTGGTGAAGATGGTGATGAAGGTGGTGGTGGAGGAAGTAGTGAAGATGGTGGTGAAGGTGGTGGTGTTGAGGGTGGTGGTGGAAGTGGTGAAGATGGTGGTGGAAGTGGTGAGGATGGTGGTGATGGTGGTGGTGCTGGTAGTGGTGAAGATGGTGGTAGACGTGGTGAAGATGGTGGTGGAAGTGGTGAGGATGGTGGTGAAGGTGATGATGGTGGTGGTGCTAGTGGTGAAGGTGGTGGTGTTGAGGGTGGTGGTGGAAGTGGTGAAGATGGTGGTGGTGATGTTGATGGCGGTGGGGGAGGTAATGACAGTGGGATGGTGGTGATAGTGGGATGGTGATAGATAAAGTCTTCTCATTTACAGCATCTAATATTTTAAAAGAAACATCTGTTTTTCTTAAAAAATAGATATTCATTGTAAAATATAATTTAAATAATGCAGAGAAAGCGAAAACTCTCCCTTTATTCTGTTACTTCAGAGATTGCTACTGGTTTACTGAGTGCAATCGCTCTCTGATTGCAGCTTCCCACCAACACTCCACACCCCCGAACTTTCCCGGGGCTCCCAGTCCTCCCTGTACTGTCTGCTGGGAATTCCACCTTTATCACTTTTCTCTTTTGCATCTATTGCTAAGCCTTCCACCCGGCCTCTACGGTTCTGAGCAATAAGAGAGTCACAGACATTATCAGAGGTGGAAGGCCTTGCCGGTGAGGCCTCATTTTACACCTGGGGGCAGAGTGCCCACAACTTGCTCATGGAGACCCTGCAAAGCACGGTCATTTACCTGGCGAACGGGTGTGCGTGAGCACCGTGTGCGCGGCCACTGGGCTCAGTGCTGAGGGCACAGCAGGGAACTTGGTCCTGGATCTCACGTGGCCGACATTCTACAACGAATAAACCCAATACTTTCAGAATAGATGTTTTATAAAATAAATTTTTTAAATAAAGGAAAAAAGGGGCAGGGATGGATTGAGCATGGTGGTCAGAGAGGGACTCTCTGAAGGAACATCTGAGCTGAGACATGAATGATAGGAGGAAGGGAGCCTTGGGAAGTTTGAGGGGAACATTCCAGGGAGAGGAGACGATTAATGCAGAAGGCACAAGGCAACAGGCCCCAGTGCCTGGTGCACAGGAGCAAGGGTGGCGGTGGAGGCTGATGGGGAAGGAGAGGTGGGCAGAGACCAGACCGGACCGGATCTTGAGGTCATGGTGAGAAGCGTGGCTTTTATTCCTAGCGTGATAGGCAGTCAGTGAGAAGTTCTGAGCAGGGAGGCACACAATCTGATTTACATTCTTAAAATACCACCCTGGCACCAGGTGCAGAAGCATTGTGGAAGGGCAAGGGTGGACAGAGTAGCAGGTTAGAAGTGACTGGGGACTTGGACCAGGCTGATAAGGTGGCGAGGGGTGGTCAGATGTGGAATCTACACTAATAAAAGAGAAACATGGTAATTAGCGTACGACCGCTACACTTCCCATTGGCTAATCAGCATATCCTTATGCAAATTAACTGTCAGCCAAGATGGCGGCCGGCAGCCATGCACTGAAGCGAACAGGGAGGCTTGCTTGCTCCAGTGACTGC